CAAATAGGAATATCAACTTTCATACTTTCACTAATTAAATATATAAACTTTTTTCCTTATTAATTAAAGATGCCAACTTTTATGAGTTACGACTCTCAAGAATGTCTACTTTGCATGTTTACTAGATAAGGATTAGTTGGATGGAGAGCCTGGGGAAGAAATTGTTGTTCCTGAAACTTTAATCTTCATATCTGCTGTGTATAAATGTTGTTTCTTGGCTTTCTTCCTTACATTCCAGCATATCAGCATTGTTCCTCATAACAGAAAATATGAGAAATTAGTATAAAACTAAAGTAAACAAGAGGCAAAATAATATTAAATAATGTTCATAAAGATGAAGAATAATAGGCTGAGGCATGGATTAATCACTTTTTTTAAGACGTTTTGTGCTACTGGTACAATAAGGTTTTATGATCACGCTGCTCTCAGGATACAACAACCCAACATTCTTTGTTGTGGCTTTATAAGAACTGCACCCTTGTAAAACAAGCTCCACACCACCACCTTTCCTTGCCCAACAGAGAATAAGAGTGCAACATAGTTCTTTTTGTAACAGCTTATAATACAAATGGAGGGCTACCTATTGATAGACTTTCAAATTGTAACCAAAATATAAATATTAATTTAAATGACTAATTAAATCAAAATCATTGCACAATGAATATATAAACGATTGCAATAAACATTTCATTTATTTTCCTTTGAGAAACGCATGCTCATTGAATTTGCAAATCAATTTTTAATTAAAATTTACAATAGAAAGTGAAAAGCAAAAGAAGAGACTAAGGGAAGAAAGTAAGGAGAAAGAACGAACAACAAAAGAAGCAAAGGAAAAGAAAGTATGGAGAGCTGTATAGGGAAAAAGAAAAATGTTGGAAATTTATATATTGGTTTCGTAATTGTATTTGGTTTTTAAAATTAGGTCAAATGAAAAACTGGTAAATCCAATAGAGTGATGTGATTCAAGTGAGTCTAAATTTTATCTTAGTTTTATATGGTGTGATATAAGTAGGTGTAGGGCTTGAAATTAAGAGTGGGTTATTTGATGAGAGTACCAAAAAATTATTATAATAAATTAGGTCCTTTCTCTCATTTAAAAAACATCTACCTTTATAAATAGTAAAATTAGGGAGTGGTAGGACTTATTAGTTATCATTATATATAAGTTAAATAGGGAGAGAAAAACTTAAATCCCAATACTAATTATATTTGTTTTGTAGGTTTTATCATGAAATCCTAAATTATGATAATTAATTTTTGAAGATTTTTGAAGATTCTTGAAAATTTTTAAGTAATATATTGATTATGAAGTCAATAATTTATTTATTTTATTAAATTTTGGTATCTTAAATCTTACATATGTTGATTTTTAAAATTCCAAAAACAGAAAGAGAAAAAATAAAGGAAAATAAAAGGAAACAAAGGGAAAGAAGGAGAGAACCAAAATCAAAGAGCAGTTGAAGCAAAAGGAGGTAAGGAATAAGGAGAAAAAAAATTTGACTGCAAAAAAACCAAACAGAGGCCGAACGTGGAGCACGGAGGCACTGTTTCTCTAGAAGCTTTTGGAAAGATTCTGGTTGGAGTCCAAGTTAATATATATAGAAATAGTATTTTAAAAAAGTGTTAAAAAAATTTATCGCTAGCTCTTGAGTTTTTGGGTCAAGTAGCGTTAGGTTATGTATAAGTGCATTCTCCCACCTTAAAACAACAGTTCGAATTCGACTCTTGCAAATTTGTTTAAAAAAAAATTATCGCTAGTATTCTTCAGAACGTGGAGCATGAAGGCTCTCGTTTCTCTAAAAGCTTATGGAAAGCTTATGGTTGCAGTCCAAGTTAATAATTATAGAAATAGTATTTAAAAAAGTAAAAAATTATAGCTAGTACTCTTCTGAAATTTATACTATTTCTTTAAATAGAATTTTTGTTACTATAAATTCATTTAATATCGTAATAACTATTGCGAGATGCAGAGTCAGAGGGTTAGAGCGAGAGGAGCGGCGACAGGGGAGGCCAGCGGCACCAGACAGCGACAGAGGTTCAAGCGTTGGATTCCGGGGGTAGACCAAAAGCTTTTAGGACAGATAAAGACCTTCTTCTTCTACAACTTTCCAGAAAATTGTGAGGAAAAAGACTTACGGTATAGTTTTCAGAGGTATGGGAAAGTATTAGATGTTTATCTGCCAAAGAAGCGAGACAAATGGGGGAAAAGATATGGATTTCTGCGTTTGTTAGGGGTACAGAATGACAACCAGATGGTGAGAAGACTTAATGACATCTGGTTTGGATCATACAAGCTGCGAGTGAAAATTGCAGAGGAGCGAAGCAATGGGAGAGTAAAGGAGGCAGAGACAAGAGGTAGAACACAGCAGAGAGTAGACAGATTAGTACAACCAGGACAGTCATATGCCCAGGCGGTGAAAGGGAAAGAACAGAAGTCGCAACAGCTGCTGATGCGTGGAAGAACAATGGAAAGGGACGAAAGGGACATTACCCATCGAAAAAAGACACCAATTCAAGCTAGACAACAAAAAAGGAAGGAGGAAGTGGCATCATGCGACACATTAAATATCAAAAAACGGATGGTGGAGAATCTGGACATGGAAACACAGGAGGAAATTATGGAATTTATACCAGAGCAGAGTGAACTCCAATGGCTTGAAGGAGGCATGGTGGTCATCGTCAAATCTCTATCAATAATCAATGAAATTCAACAGAGGATTGATGTAGATGGCGGCTTGATCACTCTAGCACCATTAGGGGGCAGAAGGGTGCTGTTAACTGAAAAGGAACCGGGATACTTATTGGAATTTATGAAGCTCAATAAAGAAGTGTTAGCTTTGTGGCTTGAAGACATCCAATCATGGGATAAGGATGTACAGGAATGAAGCAGAATGGCTTGGCTACGTATCTCTGGTATTCCTTTGAAAGCATGGAGTGACAGATGCTTTCTGATGATCGGAAAATCAGTCGGAGAGGTGATCAAGATCCATGAAGATACAACAATGAAGTCGATTCTATGTGATGGGAGAATGTTAGTTATATGCTCTGCAGATCAAAGGATTTCTAAGAAAATTAAACTGAAGGTGGAAGAAAAGCTGTATGAGATACGGGTGGAGGAAGAAGAATGGCGATCCGACCCAGATTGGTGGTTGTCAGAGGATGAGCGGGGGGGGTGAGTCACAAACGGAGTCGGAACAGTCCTCGGAACAGTCCTCGGAACAATCTTCGGAGCATTCTTTGGAGCAGGTAGATGAGGATGATCAGGATTGGGTAAACTTCGAAATCTGCGACGAAGAGGACGCCAGCATTGATGAGGAGCAATTAATGAAGGATGGACGTTGGAATTCAAATTCAAAATTCATATATACAGAGGAAGAAAGGGAGAGGCGGCATACAGAGGAAGGAAATGAGGGTAGAGAGGATGTGGGTAGTGGGCCGACCAAAGACAGTGGGCCGAAGACAACAAAAGTAAGTGGGCTGGGAGAAATTGGACTAAAAGAGGCAGATGGCCTGGGAAGGAACCTTAGCCACGGACAGAAGATGAGGATTAAAAAGAAAGGGCCCGAGGAGACAGATAAGGGGATTATGACAAAACCAGATCTGGATCTGAGGGTACTAGGGAGCAAACGAAGAAGAAAGCTGGAGGAATGTTACCCAGAGAGTTTGGCGAAAAGCTGGCCAAAGAAGATGCAGGAGACAAATGCAAGAGCAACACAAGGACACAAAGGGAGAGCAGATCCTTCAACGGGGTCAGCGAATAAGGTAAATCTGGTTGGTAGTTGTTCAATTTCTGATGGATGCATTGCAAATAGAAACAGGGAGCTTAGAAGAGAGATGATCTTGCATGAGGTGAGGAAGATGTTGAGCGTAGGGAAGAGATTGGGATTTCAAACCCAAGAAAATGAAGAGGAAATCCAGTCTCGGTTAGTGGAGTTGGAAGAGAGGGAGGAGGCAGGGGATCGACAGGGGTAGTGGGTTCAAGGGTACGGTAGCAGTGATTAGGTGGGTGTGGGAGTTTTTAGTTAATGAAGTTGATTTCTTTCAATGTGAGGGGCTTGGGTAGTGTGTTGAAGAGGAAAGAGATAGGTAAATTGGTGAGAGAGGAACGACCAGATTTTCTATTCTTGCAAGAATCTAAGTTAGAAAGAGTGGATGATGACTTGAGTAGAACAGTGTGGAATTCGAGAGAGTGTGGCTGGGTAATGAAGGAATCGATAGGAGCATCAGGAGGCTTGTTGTGTTTTTGGAACAAAAAGACCTTTGATAAGACGGGAGATCACACAGGTGATGGTTATCTGAGAATATCAGGGGAGTGGGGAATTCATAAGGAGAAGTGTAACCTAGTGAACGTGTATGGGCCAAATGATAGACAGAAAAGACTCAAGTTATGGGATGAACTAAGGAATATGATCACAGAAGAGGGAGGAAGATGGTTAATTGCGGGAGACTTTAACGCTGTAAGATGTCTTGAGGAAAGAAGGGGAAGAACAGGGGAGAGCCTAGATATGAGGGAGTTTGATGCGTTTATTCAATCAGCAGGCTTAATTGATATCAAAATGGTTAATAGGCGCTTCACATGGTACAAGCCAGATGGTACAGCCATGAGTAGACTGGATAGAGTTTTGATGAATGCAGAGATGAGCAGATTGGGGGGAGATTGGGTGCAACAAGGCTTGAAACGGAACATCTCAGATCATTGTGCAATAGTGGTGAAATCAAGAACAACGGACTGGGGACCAAAGCCATTCCGAGTTTTGGATGCATGGTTACTCCATCCAGATTTCAAGAAGATAATTGAGGAGAAATGGAAAGCAATGGAGGTAGATGGGTTTGCAGGGTACAAATGCAAACAGAAGTTAAAGGGGTTAAAGGAGTTTTTAAAGGGATGGAACCGAGACATATTTGGAGACATGGAAGTTCAATATCAACAGGCTGTTAAACAGATTGAGCAGGTTGATATGAAGAATGAGGAGCTTGATCTGGAGGAATTTGAAATTCTGCAGAGACAAGAAGGATTTCAGAAAATGTGGGACATAATGAGGAAGAGAGAAGTGATATGGAAACAGAAGTCAAGAAGCAATTGGGTACGTGTGGGAGATGCAAACACGCGGTTCTTTCATAGAGTTGCAAATGGTAGAAAGGCCCAAAATTATATCACAGGCTTAATGTGTGACGGAAGCTGGGTGGAAGAACCAACACAGGTTAAGAAGGAGGCGATGAATTATTTTAGCAAGCTATTTCAAGAAGATAAGTGGAGTAGACCAAAGCCGTATGGGGTAAATTTCAAGCAAATTTCCACAGAGGAAAATCAATGGCTTGAACGACCATTCTCCACCAAAGAAATTGAGGAAGCATTACGAAGTTGTGAAGGCTCAAAAGCTCCGGGCCCAGACGGGTACAACTTTAACTTCCTTAAATTTGCATGGAATAATTTAAAGGAAGATTTTATGAGCTTTTTTTCTGAATTTAATCAGAATGGTAAATTGGTTAGTGGGCTGAATTCATCTTTCCTAACTTTAATCCCCAAGAAAATTAATTCTATGGAATTAAAGGATTATAGACCCATTAGCTTAATTGGATGTGTGTACAAACTGTTAGCAAAGGTGTTGGCTAATAGACTTAAATCTGTGCTGCCGGGGATTATTAGTGAAAATCAATCTGCTTTTTTGGGAGGACGTCAGTTAGTTGATGGGGTTTTGGTGTTGAATGAAGTGGTAGAGGAAGTAAAGCGAAAGAAACAGCAGGCTTTTGTTTTTAAAGCTGATTTTGCGAAGGCATATGACTGTGTGAATTGGTCATTCTTAGAATGGATGATGGATAGAATGGGTTTCGGAACCAAGTGGAGAAGGTGGATCATGGAATGCTTATCAACCTCTAGAATTTCAGTTCTGATGAATGGCAGTCCGACGGAGGAGTTCAAGGTTGAAAAAGGATTACGACAAGGTGACCCGTTATCTCCATTTTTATACTTGATGATTGGGGAGGGACTAAATGGACTGGTGCAAAAAGCAGTGACAGAGGGGCTGTTTCAAGGTGTAGAAATCGGCAGGAGGGGGTTAAAGAGTTCTTTACTCCAATTCGCAGATGACACAATTATTATGGGAAAAGCTGACACAGAGAATGTATTTATGGTCAAAACAATCCTGCGATGGTTCGAACTGATGTCTGGTTTACGAATTAATTTCAGTAAGAGCAGCATTTATGGATACAATGTGCCAATAAGTTGGGTAGAAGGAGCAGCCGGTATGCTACATTGTGGTGTTGGGAAACCTCCTTTTATTTATTTAGGATTGCCCGTTGATGGAAATCCTGGGAGAAAGAAGTTTTGGGAGCCACTGATATATAAATTCCGAGCCAAACTCGCTGTCTGGAAAGCTGCTTCGCTATCCTTCGGTGGCCGCCTCACTCTGCTCAACTCGGTACTTTCTGCTTTACCTACTTTTTACATGTCACTGTTTTTAATTCCAAATTCTGTGCTTGTTGATTTGATTAGTATACAGAGAACCTTTTTATGGGGAGGGGGTGAGTCACAAAAAAAAGATTTCTTGGGTGAAATGGGAACATGTATGCTGTAGTAAACTAAAAGGGGGTTTGGGGGTGTCAGACTTACGTAGGAAAAATTGGGCTCTCTTAGGAAAGTGGTGGTCTAGGTTTGGGGATGGTGTAGAGAGCTTATGGAAACGGATAGTTAAGGAGAAA